GGCATCCAGGGCGGGGAGGGAGGGGGGGGGGGGTTACGTCACGTGATGAGTGGATGGATGGGTCATGGGGGTCATCAGTGATAGGCATTCTGAGGGGTCTTTTCTTGAAAAGCGACAGGCATTCAAAGGGGATCTAGGGATCAAAGACACGTATATATGGGCATCCGGGATCAGCGTTCGTATCCTTGGAGGATCAGGGGTTGGATTTAAATGGGGTTGTGTCGGATCAGTGGCAGCTATTAGAGGGGTCGCTTAGACATCTATGACAAGTATTAGAGGGGTCGTATAGGCTTCATAGTCAGGTATCAGAGTGGTCGTATAGACGTCATAGTCAGGTATTAGAGGGGTCGTATAGGCTTCATAGTCAGGTATTATAGGGGTCGTAGAGGGTTCATAGTCAGGTATTAGAGGGGTCGTTAGACATCAATGGCAAGTATTAGAGGGGTCGTATAGGCTTCATAGTCAGGTATTAGAGGGGTCGCTTAGACATGCAAGTATTAGAGGGTTCTTATATACATTAAAGGCAAGTATTAGAGGGGTCTTCTATACATTAAGGGCAAGTATTAGAGGGGTCTTATATACATTAACGGCAAGTATTAAAGCGGTTATATAGATATCAAAGTCAGGTTCAAGAGGGGTCGTTCAGGCAGTATCGCAGATTTAAAGAAACGCGTACTAACTATCAAGCGCGCTAATTTAGCCGCGATGCTCATTTGATTAATTAAAATGCATGAGCGACTACTTTGCGACGTGTGCAATCGATATACGTCTTTCATTTTTTATAAGCCAGACCTACTTCACCGCATTTTCCGCTCACAAAAAATTAACACAACAAGCAGCAAAGATCTGAGTGAGCTGGTCCCTATCTTAGATAGGTGCATTTCGTGGTGCACTTCACGGCTCACTTCACGGTGCACCTCAAGGTCTTCCAGGTGAACTTCGCGATGCACTTAAGGGTGCACTTCAAGGTGCACTTCAAGGTGCACTTCACGGCTCACTTCACGATGCACCTCAAAGTGCTCTTCCATGTGCACTTCAATGTGCAATTAAGGGTGCACTTCACGGTTCACTACACGGTGCATCTTGAGGTGCTCTTCCATGTGCACTTCAAGGTGCCACTGCTTAGCTCAGATTCCACCCTCCCACCCCCCCGTACACACACACACACAGTACCCACCACCACCTAAAGGCCTTAGCCTATTTTCAAAAGAATGACAGAAATCAGCATTGTTTAATTTTCTTGAATCCATAAATAATGGTAATTAGGGCAATAGGGTTACAACTGTAAAGATAACTACATGACACTTAACATACTCTTAAAAAAAAAAGCCCAACAAAAAAAAAAAAAAAAAAAACACGATCCAACAGAATAAATTAAAACTAGAATAACAAAATTCAAATATCCTTTCAACTAAACGCCTCTGTTAGTAACACAGTTCTTGAAATATTGCAATAAAACCAAAATAAGGGAAAAGGAATGTAAACAGTTGAACGAAAAAAACTACAATGGAGGTAAGATTAAAGACACACTGAAATCTGACCTCGTTGTACTTACAGTGACCTAACTTCAAAAACATGCTCATAGAGGGAGAAAAAAATTAGGCTGAACCATGTTGAACTGTTGTACAACCTAGTTCGCTGATATATGTGGCATCTAGTCCTCTCGAACGATTAGATGTTAACTACAGTAGAAAAGTTGCCTTTTCGAACCTGGCGGTACTTGGGGCACACAAAGTAGAGTTCACCTGTTTTTTTGTGACCTCGGTATATGAAGAGGTAGAGTGGTGAGCATTATGCCAACTGGGAGAACCGCTGATCAATCGATTGATTAGAATAGTTGTTATACGATGGTGCAGGTCGAACCTACGCCCTACCTATGACATTACGATCAAACAATAGTACATGATACACATCACAGACGCTGTGATATATATATATATATATATATATATATATATATATATATATATATATATATATATATATATATAATTTGTGGATCGTAAAATAGCTGTTTTATCACATTGACAATTAAAAACACGAAAGCTTGGAAATCGACACACGCTATATACGGTGAGTTTACGTGTGACAGCTGTAATATGATATGTGTGTCTGAGTGTGTGTGTATGTGTGTGGATGGGAGTTTGTGTTTGTGTGTGTGTGTGTAGGGGGTGCTTTTGTGTGTAAGTGTGTGATGGTGTATCTGCCTCCCCCAACGCCACAGCCTGTACGATCCCGTAAAACTGGTTGGACGGCACTGTGAAGTTATTCATCTATCCCTTTAAAAAAAGGCCACAACAAATTGTTTGTTTTAGCACTGAACATTTCAATCCTCAATGAAGTGACTGTGATGCAGATTTGACACTTGGCGATCACGAGAAGATACCTAAACAATCTCACAACGACAGCAACATTTTCATGTCCTTAAGACTTACAACGTATAACTAAAATGTTTTCTAACCCAATAACCACATTTTTATATGCAACTCTAGCATATTTTATGTATATGAATAACACTTGTAATCATAATAGTGAAATGGAAGAATGGGTCTATAAGACAGGAGCGTCAGATTATTCCTCAAACCATTCTGAATTGAGTTTTTTTAGAGTCGAAATGAGTCGTTAAAGATCAAAGACTGTGTTCTACAAGACTGATCTTAAGCCCCCCCCCCCCCATTTGATACAATATAACACATTGGTAACTAACACCCAACCCGCCTTGTGTTATATAAATGTGCATCATGCTCGCCAGTGCGTATGAGTGATTGATTTGTATGTATAGGCGAGGGTTGTGTTGTGTTGCGTTGGAGTCAGATAAACTTAAACTAATATATGTTGAACCTAAAGCTAGCATATGTTGTAGCTAGGATATGTTGTAGCTAGGATATGTGGTAGCTAGGATATGTTGAACCTAAAGCTAGCATATGTTGTAGCTAGGATATGTTGTAGCTAGGATATGTTGTAGCTAGGATATGTGGTAGCTAGGATATGTGGTAGCTAGGATATGTTGTAGCTAGGATATGTTGTAGCTAGGATATGTGGTAGCTAGGATATGTTGAACCTAAAGCTAGCATATGTTGTAGCTAGGATATGTTGTAGCTAGGATATGTTGTAGCTAGGATATGTGGTAGCTAGGATATGTTGAACCTAAAGCTAGCATATGTTGTAGCTAGGATATGTTGTAGCTAGGATATGTGGTAGCTAGGATATGTTGAACCTAAAGC